ATATATGCAATAACTCATTACAAGCATCTTGTTGAAAAATATCTTCATCAATAGCACCTCCGGTAAAATAGGTAGAATGACCATTCAAAACAATTGACCAACTGGGATGAAGATGGTCCTTCACATAAAAAACTTGTTCTGCTTGAGATGCAAGCACAAATGGTTCATCTGTTACTAGTTTTCGCTTAGTGTTAACACTAACAAAATCATGTTTATCTATTTTCACTCCTATTCCGATGTGATCAACATCCCACCAATCACATTTAAACAAAACAACCCGTTTACCTTCAAAATATTGAAGTTCTATTATTTCAGTCAAAACACCATAGTAATTAATATTCTTACCATTCGCTTCTCGTCTTACTAAAACACCACTATTTTGGGTCTTCCTTGTTTCCTACAGTAGTTTAGTATGAAATCTAAACCCATTTATTTCATACCCCTTGAATCTTTGAACACCATCAAAAGGGCCTCTAGCCAAAGAATACAATTCATAGGTTGCGAGTTCATTTTTTTCTTTGCGCATTTGTACAATCTATACAAAAAAAATATAAATTAATGATGATAAATAATTATCACAAATTTAATTTGAAAGACAATAAAAACTTACCCGATCAAAAAACCAATCATCAAAGTTCATGCTTTTATTACTCTGTTCATACTCACTGTAATACAAATAAGTGTACATTAATTAAAAATAAAATAAAAGATGAAGATAGGGTTAAGAAAGGTAACTTCTCTGGGAATATTTTGATGGGTAAATGGGTACACATGCTAAGTGAATTGAAAATGCAAGGAAAGGGAGATATGGTGTTGGATTTGTGTGGTCAGATGATTAGAGAGGTCAATCCGGATGAGTGTTTTGGGATAAAATCATCCCTCAAGTATAACCAAAACGTAGGGTACATACTTATGGTATAATAATGAACAAAAAACATTCTTTAACTATCCTTACTTGTTACATAAATCTCAATATTTGATAGCATTCTTGTGGTTAATGAGCAACTGCTATATCTAGAACCATGTTTATGATATTTGGGAAGTCTATTGAAGGACGTAGCTAAGTAGACAAAGTATTGACTAAATCTTATTCTCGATGATTTGTCTTTCAGGTGAGATACGTAGTTGACGCTAGTGGGAGTATGACATTGAATAGAATGTAGAATGCCAAAGGAACAACACTTGAGCTACTTGCAGAGAGTAATACAACCAGAGATCAGATCACCTTTCAATCCTAATAGTATTGTATGATGTTAGCACTGAATGTGATATTTGCCCCAAATTTTACTACTGTCATACTCCTTTATAAAACTGTCTCTCTGTCCACTATCATACTCCTTTATAAAATGTTCTCTGTCCACTGACAGCAAAAAATATTTTGCTTCGTAATATGTTAAATTGTTAACTTAGACTCGGGATCTAATATAGTAAATTAGCGAATGCAATAAAAAACATACCGTAAAAATGGTTGCACTTCTTCGCAATTTCTCAAGACATAAAGATGAGCTTGTTTTCTCTCTAACTCTTCAAGATTTCTAGATGCATCTCTTAATAAAGGAGAACCTTTTCTTTCAAATACGGATAATCCACTATATGTCTTAATATGATCATCTTCATAATTCTTATCCATTCGATCATATCCTTTCACATTTCCAGGTAAGTACCTTGAACAAAATATTATACTTTCTTCAACAATATACCCTTCTATAATAGATCCTTCAGGTTGATTTCTATTACGAACATAACATTTCAATGTGCGTAAAAATCTGCAAGATATAACAAGATACCACTCAAATTAGAATGATAAATTAACAAACCACATAAAATTAAATCAAAATTTTAAATTGAAACATACCGCTCAATTGGGTACATCCACCTATATTGTACAGGTCCACCAAGTTTAGCCTCTCTTGGAAGATGAATGACTAAGTGTACCATAACATCAAAAAATGCCGGTAGAAATATTTTCTCTAATTTGCTCAATGTTATCGGAATTTGAGTTGCAAGTTGGTCCAACACATCAACTCTTAATGTTTTCGAGCACAATTCTCTAAAGAAAATACTTAACTCAGTGATAGCATCATATACATTATTTGGCACGACTCCGCGAATTGCAAGAGGAAGCAATTGTTCCAACAGAATATGAGAATCATGACTCTTCAGTCCATAAATTTTACGATCTTCTGACTTCACCCACCGTGATATATTAGAAGAATAACCATTTGGAACCTTAATCATTTTCAAGAATTTGCATACTTTAGACTTCTCATCTGCTGATAAAGAATAGCATGCTGCCGGATAACACCATCTTCCATCCCTTTGAGTTGGATGCAACTCACTTCTTATACCCATTTCCTTCAAATCATGACGAGCATTCAAATTATCTTTTGTTTTTCCTTCAATATCTAATAATGTCCCAATGATATTATCACACACATTTTTCTCAATATGCATCACATCTAAATTATGACGTATTAAATTATTTTTCCAATAAGGAAGCTTGAAAAAGATGCTTTTGTTCCTCCAGTTATGAATGCCTTTACTTTTTTTGTACTTCCGTTTTTTTGGAGTCTTACCAAATTTCATGTCCTCAAGAGTAAGCAATTGGTTTAAAACATCCTTTCCAGAAAGAATTTCTGGAGCAGATCTTCTTTCTACTTTTCCATAAAAATCACGTTTATTACTCCACCACGTATGATTAGATGATAAAAATCTACGAGCACCCATATAAGAAAACTTACGACCATACCTTAATCGAGTAGATGGTGTGTCTTTGTTGCATAACGGACAAGCCAAAGCTCCTTTTGTACTCCATCTAGATAAATTGGCATAAGCGGGAAAATCATTTATAGTCCATAAGAGTGCTGCCCGCATACAAAAATTCTCTTTTCTTGAAGCATCATATGTATCGACTCCATAAAACCATAGTTCTCATAACTCATCTATCAATGGTTCTAAGTATACATCAATATCATTTCCAGGAGCTTTAGGACCAGGTATCAACAAAGATAAGAAACAATATGGTTTCTTCATGCACATCCAAGGGGGTAAGTTGTAGACAGTAGTGATCACTGGCCAAGTGCTGTGAGAAACACTTAAATTACCAAAAGGATTTACCCCATCAGATGCTAAACCAAGTCTAACATTACGAGGATCTCTAGCAAAGCCTGGATTTAATGTATCAAAATGTTTCCATGCTTCAGAGTCTGCTGGATGTCTAAGAACCCCATATTTTGAACGTCGATCATGATGCCATGTCATGTCTGAAACTATTTCTAGTGATATAAATAACCTTTGCAATCTTGGTTTCAAGGGAAGGTAACGCAACACTTTTCGAGGAACTTTTTTCCCAGTT